TTCTTTCTGGATGTAGATTTCATTGTATTATAAATTAAATAGAATCTAAGAGTTTGAATTCTTACAACTGAGATCTACCACACGATCTAGAGTAAGAAGAAAGAGTGATAGTCCTAAATGCCCTGTAGCCTCCTGCTTATAAGTGTGGTGCACAACACACCCATAAACAAGACTCTACTAGACCCGGTTTGTAAACTCCTTAGGACAGAACTGCTCTGATACCACTTTTGTCACGACCCAAATAGGAGGACCGTGACGGGTACCCGGTACCTTACTCAATCGAGTACCAACGTAGCTTTTCATTTCTTATTATACTATCATGGGTAAATAGGCCCAAAGGGTCGTCATGAGATAATCAGAATAAAACATAAAAAAATACTAGACATATGACAACCCAATATGATGTAGAAACTCATACATGTGACATACGGTCCTACAAGACCAAAATGAACACTCGTATACTGAACATAGGTCGATAAGGCCATTCAATCTTTCATATACATGACATCCGTCTACAAGCCTCTAAGAGTACATACACATCATAAAGGTCGGGACAGGGGCCCGCCATACCAATCAATACATGTCCAAATCATATTGACCAAATAGGCAACTCCGGAGCAAGTGGAGTACACCAACACCTTTCGCTGAGCTGATAGCCTACTAGTAGGAATGTCAACCTGTCTATCGGGACCTGCGGGCATGAAACGCAGCATCCCCAGGCAGAAGGGATGTCAGTACGAATAAAGTACCGAGTATGTAAGGCAGGAAATCATAAATAAGAACTGTAATATAAAGTGAGATAGAGGAGATACAACCTGGAACATCTGAGTGCCTCTTGGGGGCTACTGATATAAAATGCATAATACATATATATACATAAACTTTTAAAAATATACGCCTTTGTGGGCATCATCATCATCATATCGTACCCGGCCTCAAAGAGGACTCGGTAAAAACATACCCGGCCATCATAAAGCTTGGTAGAATCGTACCCGGCCACGCGGAGCTCGATAAACACAACTGATCAGTGGTTGCACAATAGGTGTCGTACCCAACTGACTATAGCGCGGCTCGGTAGAGTAAAATAGATACTATATATAATGCATGCTAGACTCATGGAATCACGTTCTAAACCTTTCCGAGTGACTTAAGGTCATTGCACCTTCGATTAACATTATGGACATCCATACCCTCAGTATTAACCTCAGTAGGATTCAAGGATCATACGCACTTGCTTAGAATAAATTTATAAGGAAAGAACAACATGGACAACCTTAGTTGCTAGGAGTAGATCCGTTATGAAATAGCGTATTCATTTCACTTTAGATCATGCCAAAAGAAATAAGGGATTGCCTTAACATACCTTAACTCCATTGAGTCCTTAATACCTTCCAAGTAATTCTTCAAATAACTCAACTCAATCTATCATAGCATAAGGAGATTCAAAATTAGTGTTGAGTAAAGGCTATGTTCGCAACTTAAACTAGTAGCTCGTTTATGTAAATTTGGGCAGCATCTCCCCAGTAACAAGAGCCTCCTCCAGTACCATATACCAACAACAATGACCAAAGAAATCCAGCAATACATAATTATCAATAACAAGACACCATAAAATAACAACAAGTCACAACTACTTCACAACGAGCGTCAAACTCCAATTGGAATTCATATACCCATATTACCCCTTATAGGCTTCTTACTTTAACTTAATAGTATCATTAACATGATAATTAATTCATTCATCAATGATTCGATCCTTATACTATATATTTATAACATGGAAAACAATTCACAACTCCAGTTATCCTCAATTAGAAACTTTATTCACTAGTTGTTTAACTTAATCATTGCCAAGATAATCTTAACAAGAATCAAGAACACAATATAATAACCTCCTACAGTGGATAAAAGTCTAAATCCATGTTACATTTAGCTTACAACAGCTCAATACACCCCAATCACTTCATACCTAAAACGACAACTATAGTAATGTCAAACACGCCGAAAATGTTACAAAGAACGACTAATCCACCATTTCTCCATTATTTGGTGTTTCTCCACACAATTTCTCCTCCAAAACTCCATTAAATAACAACAAAATATACAGCCCAAAAGCAACACGAAATAGCCCAAAAACAGCCCACAACAAGTCGAATAATTCGAACTCACGACTTCCGATCACCGTCCCGTGGGTTCTAGCTATTACAAAATGTATTTATCAACCTTCCTTTATATTTAAAAGCTTAAATACAGAAATAAGGCATTTTATTAACTATTAAATATCTTCGAAAACTCAAACTACAAAGAAAAAGAGAGGCAATATAGCGATACTTACGTCGTAGGGATCATTTTAATGTTATCGCTACTTGATTTCGTGCCCCGGATGATAATCTTGTTGGAAACCCTTGTGGAGAGATTGAGGGGAAGGTTAGAGGTGTTATTTCGTCGTGCTTTCTGGAAAAATGGGGAAAGAGACAAGATAAGGGATGTAAATATCCATTTTGTTGAAAAGTCAAAAAGGTGCTACTTGGCACCCTAGCATTGGTCCTTCTTCCAACGCTTATAACTTTTTATCCGTGTGTCATATGAGCAAACAGTTAAGAGCGTTGAAAACTAGATTCCAATACCTTCATATAATATATCCCAAAAAGACCTCATATAACACACAAAATGTATTGCTCAAAAAGCTTTAGTGACACACCTACTTGCCACTTATACAGTCTGTGTAGTCTCGCAAAACTGCAAATATCTCTCTACTCCGATATCGTATTGACAAACCATTTAATGCATTAGAAATTAGACTCATAGATCTTCAATTTGATATGTGGATCATCCTGTAATTCCAGGTATATTGGGAGAAAAGCTCCACTACATTTGACCTAATGTTTAGCACATTTAAAAAAGCAACTTGTGATGACCTTTGCCAACTTTTGTTCCACAACTCGCTTGACTTCAAAACGTAACATACAACTATCATAAACCTAAAATAACTTATAACATAACCTCCTTATCACGTTAAGAACCCTAGTCTCACCCCAAAGTGCATGTTATAACATTCCAAACTTATCGACTTTCGACGAAACTTATTTTCTTCAATTTGCTTAGCTTCTAAGCCTTTCCAACCATCTTGGTACTTGTTATTCATGATCTTAAATATTTGTAACCTCTAAGGTAACATGATTAACTTACTTTATTTGCTTCCAATAGAATCTTATTTCTAAGCTTACATCAGTTGACTTACGACATACTCTCACGTATGAAAAAATGGGGTGTAACACGAGGTATCCAATTAGTCGAGATGTGCACGAATTTGCTCGTGTGTGTGTGTGTATGTGTATGTATGTATGTGTATATATATATATATATATATATAACAAAGATTTATTTGCATATGTTTTTTAAGTAAAGGGAAGTCTTTTGTGTGCCATATAGGTCATGGGTTGAAATCGTGGAATCAGCCTATATTATACTCTTCAGGGTGCGATTCTTTCTCGAACACTACGTGAATACAGGATAGTTCGTGCACTGCATGTGTTGCATTTTTTAGGTGTACCTACTACTGGAATATCTAGGAGCATGTGATTTATTCTCTTTATGCTTGTGACTAGACAAATAACAAGTGGCAAAGGACCCTAGCTCTTTAATTTTCTGGAAACATGAGATGGCTCTTTTCTTTATTTGTATGTATCTTGTCAGTTCCTGCAAATTCTACATGAGAAAAGCATAATCATCTCACTAACAACCAAAGCTAGTGCACAATATATTAATGAAACTATCATCACTAAAGATATTTTGAATGAATACAAAACTAATTGATAAGACATTATATGTGTATTTTACCATAATAATATGGGAGAAAGATGCCCTAAACTAACTTGAAAGGGAAAAGAAAATAATCATCAAGAAAGATAAGACATGAAATGAGAAATTGAGCTATTTAGGCAACACTCTTTTTTTGACTGTTTAAGAAAGAATGATACGTTTTTAAATTTAAAAATAATTTAATTTCTAATATTTCATTTTATCCTTAATGATATACTTTTATAGTCTCATTGTCATGACATATGTAAGACACTAAATATCAAAAATATTCATCTTTCATAAATATTGTGCTCAGTCAAACACTGTCATATAAAATGAAAAGAAGAGAGTATATAAGAAGTGGATCGGAAGTAGCCATGTGGATGTTGACTACTTGACTTCTAGTACTTACTACTTTCTTTGTTTCATTTTATGTAATACTATTTCCTATTTAGTATGTTCTAAAAATAATGCCATATTTATATATTTAAAAACAATTTAACTTTAGAGTTTAAACTTCTCATTACCCTTTATGATATGCCTTTTAGCCGCAAAAATGTCATGATGTAGTTAATACCATAAGTTTAAAAAGTCTTTATTCTTTTTAAACTCCGTTCAAACAAACAGTGCCACATAAAATGAATCTTAGGAATTATATAAGAAATGGAATAGACATCAGGGTGGATGTTGACATGTCTCCTGACTAGTGGATTGTGTTTGGAAATTTGTATACTCTGTAAAGTACAATGCTTCTTAATTTACTAATAAGCATGGCTTATTTTCTAGGAAATTTACTAAGGTAACAAAATTAATTGAATTGGGCTCAATTATAGTCACATGATGGTAAAAGATCAAGCACTATGGTTTTAAAAAAAAAATTAACAGAGGTGTCCATATTTGTCTGAACGCACCTTAATTGTTCCATCGAATGCCTGTTACCTCTTACCAGTAATTTTATCGATAAACTCTATCTACCAACACTTAGATGATGAGAAGAGATGACCTAACGTTTCTCTTAAAATATTTACCACTAGAGCATCTTTAATCCTTTAACTTTGCTAAACTAGAGCACCTTTAGTCTACTAACAGAACCAAGTTAAAAACTAACGGTGCTAACCCATGTGACACTCACGTGACTTTGGAAAATGCTAAACCCACCAGTTCCATTTGCAATTTTCCCTCAATTCCATCGACAAAGAAACCCATTACCAAAAACCCTAGCCTCTCAAAAAAAGCTTCGATGACTGAAAACAAGAAGAGGACTCAAAGTGAAGAAGCTTATTTATTGATCTCCAGCAATGATTATTAGATGCCATGGTAATGAAATACCCAATTATAGTAAGATTTTAGCAAGAAATAGTATTTGGATTTTCATCAAACTGAAGAAATTGTGATTTTTTTTTTTTTTACTGTAAGTTGATTCAATTTCTCATTCTTTAGTTTATTTAATGATTATTATATAACACATGAGAGCTTCATTGTATTATAATAAAGTTAGTAGATTAAATCTCTCCTATTCTTCGTGCAATACAGTGATATGCAGTAGCTTTTCGAATAAAAAATATTGGAATAGAGACAAACAATAAGGAATAAAAAAGTTGTTTCTAACATTGCTAATCTTTTATCTCTCTTTTTTAATCGTTGGCGAATTAGGTCCACCCATATTAACGTGTCTTTTTCTTCTTATAAAATTACTCTGTACGTGTCCACTAGAAAAAGGTCTAACGTCAGGGTTACTATAATGGTAAGCAACTCCACTTCTAACTGAGAGGTTGTGAGTTCGAGTCTCCCCAAGAGCAAGGTGGGAAGTTCTTGGAGGGAAGGATGCCGGGGGTCTATTTGGAAACAGTCTCTCTACCCTAGGGTAGGGGTAAGGTCTGCGTACACACTACCCTCCCCAGACCCCACTAAGTGGGATTATACTGGGTTGTTGTTGTTGTTGTTAGACCATGCATACGAGGCTTCTTTTTTCAGTATAAAAGTAACACATGGTGGTACGATGAAGCATCAGCCTAGCAGATATTATCTTGGGGGTCGTATAGATTTTATTGATTATGTTAACCATATGGAGTTGAAGCTCTCGCAATTCAAATCCATGGCAGAACTATGTGGTTATGAGAGAGATTCTGTTACTTTTTGGCAGAAGTGCAGGAGGTACGGGAATAGAATGCGACTTGTTTCTACTGAAAATGATTTTTCAGATGATAATGAAAATGTGAATCATATATATGAAGTTAGTGAAGAAGTTAAGAAAAAAAATGACTGCTGAAGAAGGTGATACATATTGTGTTGACTCGGATGATACAAAGAGTTTAGAATGTGACTCTGACAGTGAGAGTTTCAACTTTCCGATGTTCAATCCTAAAACAGACGGGGATAAACCAGTGTTGGCATTAGAATTGACATTTGAAAACAAGCATGAGTTCAAATATGTTGTAATAACTCATGAAGTTAATGAAGGGAAGTACATTAAGTGGTGCAAGAATGATAACTCGAGAGTGAGAGCAACTTGTGATCATCTAGATTGCAAATGAGAGATTCTAGCTTCAAGAATGCATTGAGATAGAACATTTCAGATCAGAACATACAATCCCACTCATGATTGTAAGATTTGGAACCACCGTAACAAAGCAATCACATCTTCTTATATTGCACAAAGATATCTTAAGGTCATAAGCTCAAATAGGTCTTGGGCAATCGGTGCATTCAGAGATCACGTTAGTGTGGAACTTAGAGTTCAAGTGACATTATCATAATGCAGAGGGCCGGATTCAGTAGTATCTCACTCAGGAATGCCCTTTGGAAGGCTGCAAAGGCTACAACAGTAAAGTGGTTTGAGGATTGCATGGTTGACATCTTTGATATAGATTCATAAGCTGCTCATTGGCTCAAGAAGAAGTCGCATACTGAATGGTCTAAATCTCACTTTCCTGAAACTGTGAAATGCGATACCTTACTCAATAATATGTGTGAATGTTTTAATAGCATGATCATTGAGGCTAGAGATAAGTCGATTATCACTTTACTGGAGAAGTTAAGGTCTCACCTTATGACAAGGATGCAAGCAAATAGGGATAAAGGTACCAAGTGGAATGATGGTGATATTTGCCCCAGGATTAAGGATGTATTGCACAAAAATCAAGCGAAAGCAGCTGAATTTATTCCCAGAAAGTCAAATGAGTGGAATTATGAGATAATAGGAACAAGTATAATGAACAAGTGGGTTGTGAATTTGCTAAATAGAAAATGCAGTTGTAGGAAATGGGATCTAACAGGAATTCCTTGCAAGCATGCCATTGCCGCGATTTGGGCTAAACATGATGACATTAATTCATATGTGGATGATTGTTATAAGGTAGAAACTTATAGAATGATCTATGCACTTTCTATTCTACCTATGAATGGTCAAGAGATGTGGCCTAAGTCGAATAACATTCCTCCTTTGCTTCCACGATTGGAAAGACAAAGTACCAAAGGAAGAAAACAAAAGCTTCGCAAAAAAGAGCCTGATGAAGTTGGAGCAAGTTGACAAAAAATGAAAAGGAAGCAAACAAAATTAGATTGTAGCTTATGCCATAATCCAGGCCATAACAAAAGAACCTGCAAGTTAAATCGTGTGTATCCAGATTCTCATGATGATGAGACGGTGCGACAAGAACCCTCATTTCCTATTGCATCTTCTGCTCCTGTAAAGGTTCCGGTATGAGTTTATTACACATATCACTTTATTTAATTATATTAATGATAATATTTTTCTTTATTGTAGGTAAGAAGAGAGCCTGCTAGCCAAGACCATATGAAAGCAACTCAAGAAAGTAGAGTGACTGGAGATATATTTTTTGATATGTAAGTTTCTGCTTAAAAGGATTGGTTGTTGCTGCTGTAGGATAGTTAATTTAAAAAGATATGTTTCCTACATTAATTACTCCTTGGGTAAAGGTGGGGATGTCACAATTTTGAACTAATCAAATTTGCAGAACCCATAAGGAAATCATTTGAGAAGCTTCAGGCAATCACCATTAGAAAATTTGCCCCTTCCGTTAGTTTTTAAGTTGGTGAGGTTAGTGTGACCAAAGGTGCTCTAGTTTAACAAAGTTATAGGATTAAAGGTGCTCTAGTTTATATTTGAAGGACAAAAATGAACCTATTCCTATAGATAAGGGATAATTTTAGTCAAAAACTCTATATTTATATATTATATAATCAAAGACTTAGACTTGGATTTGACTTGGGCGCGGGCCGTGTCGGATCCTAAAGTTAATTATTTTACTTTAAATTTTAATTTGTGACAGAAAATCAGTTTATTTGAATTATAAATTCGAATAAACAGTTATGTCTATTATGAAAGGGCCTTGTATGGGTCGAAATTTGGACGACCACGACCGAAACCAAGTAATGCAGAGAGCAAGGTCCCTACGATGTCGCTTCCTAAGGATCGTCATGATGAACGACGATCGACAGTGGCTAGCGAACGCACGACACTTGTAGTCGTGTTAGCATGATAGGAAACAATGAGAATATGCCTTTGGAATATTCTTTAAGTTGTACTTTTTTCTTTTGAGAGTAAGAAGGGAGATTGTCCCCTATAAAAGGGGACCGGACACTCTTTAAAAAGGGGAGCTTCTGGGATCACAATTCTAAGATCTATATACGACTTTTACTTGAAGCTGGGAATATCTATTACAAAATCTCTTTACATTCAGAGTTGTCATATTGATAATTTGTCGTTCAACCCTGAAATACAAAGAAATATTATTCATCTTGCTCATTCTTAACATCCTTCAAGCTAGATCTTATTATATTTGGCTGAGATTTACCCCTTCAATTTTCTTAATTGATTTAATGAAAAACGTTTCAATATCTTTTGGTCAAACAGGCCTGTCCGGAGATGTCTGTTTGTGAATCAAGAAATCTTTTCTAAAAGGGTATGTTGGTTGCCTATAAATACTCAAGAATTTCCAATGAGTTGACCATCTTAACCTTCGATGCCCGCTTAGGGCCGGTACTTCGAGGAGTCGTTTGGTTACTGGGATTAGGATACTAATTTCAGTACTAAATTTAGATCCACCGTTTGGTTATTGGTGTCAGAAGCGGATCCAGGATTTTAACACGACGGGGGAACCAGTATTCTGCTCAACCAGTGTCCCCAAGTGATTTATATTAACCATTTTCAAAGTGTACAATACAAGATTTCTGCCGAAATTTACCAGGTTTGATGACCCCTCAAGGTTACACATAAGTCCGCCTCTGATTCGTATTAACTAATATCGGTATAAATTTTATGTCAAAATTTTGGTATTACCTAACAGATATAGAAGGTGGGATTATAATTTCACAGAACAACTGAATCTGTGTGGCCAAATAAAATGTGAATACTTTTGGAACTTATTCTACAGTTTTTATTGAAACCACTAATATATAGACTTGTTATACATTGTTCCAATTACTAAAAATAGAAATTAAACTAGAAACCAATTGTAGTGTCTAACACAACTGCAATTGGACTTCTTACAGAGTACTTATTACTAGTCCATTTCAAGAATCCTTGAACAATACCACTGTTTGAGCTATTAGCTCTTTTTGAAAATGTTACTTGATATTTGAACTTCTGGTTCAACTTCGAGAATTTTAGAGTAGAGGGCTTAACAATCACAGAAACGCCCGGTGGTGAACCTATTTCCACATTGTAAGATGATTTAGCGTTCCCAGTGTTAGTTACTGTTCTCGTATATGTCTGAGAATTTGTCCCGAGTGTGATGGAGAATGAAGGATAATTTAGTTGCGCTTCAGGAATACTTTTCACTTGTTTACAATCCACCCTACGTTGTAGAAGATTTCCCACCTGTCGATTTGTGTAGTTCAAACCACATAAATAAGGCAAGTAGTCCTTAAATCGTGTATCGTAAACTAGCCCTGGATCATTAGCTTTTGATGGATTGACATGTCCTGCACCAACGGCGAAGTAGCCTTTCATCTAAGATGGGATCGTTGGCGAGGTTTACTATATTAGCCGTTGTCATGATTGCTGATTTAATAACTGCAGGGGACCAAGTGGGATGCGCGCTTTTCAGCAATGCTGCTACTCCACTGAGATGAGGACAAGACATAGAGGTGCCAGACGCCAGAAAAAACGGATCAATTATCCGACCCGACCCATATTTAATACGGATAAAAAATGGTTTAACCGGCGGATAATATGAGTAATCATATTATCTATAAATTCTTACATATGATCACTTTTGGGAGAATTCCTAGTCTCCATAATTTGAGGAACCCCCAATTTGAGGCTTTATAAATATAAAAGTTAGACCATTGCTTATTCATTTTCTAAATGAATAATATAGTTCTTATCCATATTTCACTTATTTTTAAAAAGTTTATAATCCAACTCATTTTTTAGTGGATAATATGAGTGGTTAATTGTTTTCTTTTAACTATGTTGTCAGCCCTAGTCATGGATTAAAACTTTTGGAATTACCTTATATCACACTTCTCAGGATACGACCCTTTTTCGAACTCTACATGAATGCGAGATAGTCCGTACAATGTGCTGTCTTTTTAGGCGTACCTACTACTGGAATATTTAGGAGCATGTGATTTATTTTCTTTATGATTGTGACTAGACAACTAACAAGTGTCAAAGGACCCTAGCTCTTTAATTTTCTGGAAACATGAGATGGCTCTTTTCTTTATTTGTATGCATCTTGTCAGTTCCTACAAATTCTACATGAGAAAAGCATAATCATCTCACTAACAACCAAAGCTATTGCATAATCTATTAATGAAACTATCAGCACTAGGGATATTTTGAATGCTTACAAAACTAATTGATAAAACATTATATGGGTATTTTACCATAATAATATGGGAGAAAGATGCCCTAAACTAACTTGAAAGGGCAAAGAAAATGATCCTCAGGAAAGATAAGACATGAAATGAGAAATTTAGCTATTTAGGTATTACTTTTGTTTACCGTTTAAAAAAGAATGACATTTTTAAATTTGAAAATAATTTAATTTTCAACTTTTCATTATAGCCTTAATGACGTGCTTTTACAGTCTCATAATTATCATGACATATATAAGATAATAAATTTCACAAGTCTTCATCTTTCTTAAATATTGTACTCGGTCAAACACCGTCATATAAGATGAAAAAACGAGAGTATATAAGAAGTGGAAATATGCAGTCGTGTCGATGTTGACTTCTAGTACTTACTACTTCCTTTGTTCTATTTTATATGATACTATTTCCTATTTTAGTATGTTCACTTGGAAACAATTTAACTTTAAAGTTTAAACTTCTTATTACCCTTTATGGTATACTTTTATAGTCAAAAAAAATATCACGATGTAGTTAATACCAAAAATTTCAAAAGTCTGTATTCTTTTTAAACTCCATTCAAACAAATAGTGTCACATAAAATGAATCCTATCCGGGTGGATGTTGACATGTCTACTGACTAGAGGATTGAGTTGGGAGATTTGTATGATTTTTTCACTATAAACCCAACCCGTGATTTAGCAGGGCTGGGCTAGAATTTTTGGAGCCCGTTAAAAAATGAGGCTTTTATGCCCGGCCCGAGTAAGCCTGTGGCCCGTGAGGCCGGTCCGGACCCGTGGGCCTAATAAAATATTTATTTAAAATATATAAAAAATAAAAAGTATACTACCTTTAGAGATGAAAAATGAGAATTAGATCTTTACTAAGAGGAACCAAAACTTTATCTTCAGAAGTTTCAAGAGATGATGTTGTCATGTATTGGAAGGACCATTCTAGAAAATATCACGATCTTNTTTTTTTTTTAATATTTAACTAATTAATATTGCATATGAATTGTAGATGAAAGTGAAGATGTTAAGACAACTTGTCACAAGCGGATTCAAATGTGTTTGATGAAGATGGTGTGTTGGATATTTCATAAGCATCATGAACGTTCTCTTGAATAGTTTGTTTTAAGTTTTGACTTTTAGTGAATGAAATATAGTTCTGTCTTTTACTTTTTTCGTATTTATTGTAATATATTGGAACAATATAAAAAGTTATTAAATTTTGCGAATTTTTTCCATTAAAATATTTTTTAACTTTTAAATAATTATCTTTTTTTAGGTCAGAACTTAAAGAAAAAATATAAAATTATATTTTTAAAAATGATGGGCCGACCCGTGGGGGCCCGCGGCCCACATAGGGCTAGGGTAAGTTGACCATTGTAAGGCCCATCAAAATGGTGGGCTAGCCTAGCCCAGCCCGTCAACTGTTAAAGCCTACGTGGGCCTAGCCCGGCCCGGCCCATATTGACAGCTCTAGCCGCTATTCCTATAGTGTGCATCCTCAGGGGCGGAGGGAGAGTGTTACTTATGGATTGAACGAACCCAATAGCTTTTTGGTTAGACATTGTATTTGTATTAGAAAATCTATTACAAAAAAGAAAAAAAGAAAAAAAAAAAAAGCTTAATCTCATACATGAGGTCTGGGGAGGGTAGTGTGTAAGCAAACTTACCCCTACCCTACGAAGACAGAGAGACTGTTTCCGATAGATCATCGGCATATAAAATCGATTAGATATGTATAAATATTTAATTGTGAACCAATAACTAACGAGCTATGGATCCGATTGCAAATTCAAAACCCAAAAACTTTAAATCTTAACTCTTCCTCTGCATCCGCCTCTAACTAAATAAATATCTAAGGTCTATATTATACCATAAATCTTAAAATTATTTCACTTCTTCTTAAATTTCGTGCTAAATCAAATAATGAATCATGATTTAAGACGAAGGAAGTACTCTTTTATACATAGGAAAGATGGAACTTTTGGAAATTAAAAATCATAGGGTCACCTTATAAAATGATCACTTTATTCCACTAGGTAGGCTTTTTATAGACTTGTATCGGTATAAAAAATATTTACTTTATATAATATGCTATTATATGTTAATTGTAATTTGTTTCATAGCAACGACGTGAGTATACCACACAAGATGTGTGAGTTTGACTCCATCCGTTCGCTTTCTTGATCCGAAGAAAAATTAACATTTAAAAATAAAAATAAAAATAAAAATAAAAATAAAAATAAAAATATAAAAAGTTGTTGGCTAAACAGTTGCCTATATTTTACTCCTTTATAAAGCTAGAAAGAGCTGAAATTGAAATAGGTTTAAGCACAACGCTTTTATCGTCTCTCTCAATTAGCTCCGCACTTTCCTCATGACTAATACTGATCCTTCACCTATTCCCGGCGGCGTTAAACCGTCCACTTCACCTTCTCCGGCGACTTCCTCCTCACGTATTGG